CCAAATAATCCTGGGAACTGGAGTTTGCTCTGGGTGCTAAGAGTTGCTGTGAAGCCCATATTCCCCTCCCAGAGCTACAATTCCCAGAGTGGTTTAACAATCAATTATTCTTTCCAGGGAACTCTGGGAATTATAGTTCAGCACCCTTAACAAAGTCCTGTCCCAATAATGCTGGGGGGAGGGGCACCGGCACCATGACTGTGCTATAATATTGCTTCAAATGTAAGGTGTGGCTGTTACCTAAGTGGAATGAGGATGATGGATGATAAATTCTTCCGTACCTCCCTGAAGCTTGTGCTTTGAAGCATCCCCCTTCTCAGTTGGGTGGCAAATTGACTAGACCAATATGTTTGGTCTAATCAATTTGTAGCACTCTATTAAGGCCTGTGGGGCTAAAAGGAGCAGCTGCAGTTATGAAAATTCGAGTGAACAGATGCCCCACTTGTTTTTTTTCCTCCCTTCGTACAGTTATTGAGCTGCTGTGTAAGGGGAAAATTGCTCCTGTTTCTCTAGAGAGAACAACAGGAGTGGCCCACCCAGGGTGGTTCATAAGAGAATGTACAAAATGATGATAAAATCTGTATCACCATGCCAAATAACAACAAAAACAAGCAATTAAAAGCACTGGATAAAAAAGAGAGTTGAATACTCAAAACAATAAAGGCTTTTGTCTGGTTCCAAAAAGATAATAAAGTTGATGAAAGGGAAGTTCTCCTTCAATAGAGAGTGTCTTTATTTAATATTCATGGGTACTACCAGATACTCCCTTGCAGATGATGAAGCACACAGGCAGGTTTTCTTATTATTACACTTTTCTCCAAGGAACTGAAGGTGGCACACACAGTTCTCCTTACAACAGCCGGGTGATGTAGATTTGACTGAGAGACCCTGACTGGCCCGAGGTCACTCAGTGAGGTTCATGAACGAGTGGGGATTCAAACCTGGACTCCTGGATTCTAGTCCAACACTATAAATCAGGAATGGGGAAACTTGGGCCCATGGGATTTCCTAAGCCACATCCCTCACACTTGCTTTGCAACACTTCCTTGAGTGTTTTCGCTTGGCTTGGACACTGCTAATGCCTCCTGCTTGCCTGGATAGAGGATATGGGTGTGTGCAGAAAGTAGCCTACTATACAAATATAAAATTTACATTTGTTGTTCTGCTCACTTTTGCCACAGGTCCCACCTGCCACTGGTATCTGGCCTCCAGAAAGTTGCCCTGAATGGAATGTGGTCCTTAAGCTGCCAAGGGTTCCCCAACTAGCATAGTCTCATTGTGTAACTACAACAACACACTAGTATGGGAGCAAGTGTTCCTTTCAGGTACCCAAATCCCAAGCCATGCAGGGCTTTAGTGGAAAGACTCAGAACCTTGCATTGTGCTTGGAAATGGACTAGAATGGTTTCCTAAGCTCTGGCACAATCCACAGAATAGACTAGGAAGGGGACTGTTGAAGCCAAAGTTTGTCCCACTAGTCCTTAATGGGATAAGCTGATTGCTAAAAGAGTCCTGGATCTATATTGGAAAACCTTGTAAATCCACAATAGTCACTGGCCAAACACATACAAAAATAGTAACTAGCTTTCTTGCTTTTGCATAGTTATATTAGTCACATCGGTGGTAGGAAAGAAAGGGAGGAAAAATATCCCAAACTTTAGGTGAGGTTTAAAGTTTAGCTGATTGTGTGAAGAAAAGCTGAATTACCTAAGAGGCCACCAGGCCAGTGACAATTTGCAAGCCTGGTTTGAGTGTTGTAGGAGTGCTGTGTGTCTTTCTGGGCTGATATGTGACTTACCGGTTGCTCACTTCAAAAGCCTCCAAGCTATTTAGAAAAATGAAGACCCAAAGGCACAGCATAAAAACCAAAAGAATACAAAACAGTAAAGCCATAATAATGATCTTGAAGCAGACCCAGCAAAATGCTAGCAGCTATCTCTTAGCCGCAGACTCATAGAATTGTAGAGTTGGAAAGGGGCCATGAGGGTTACCTTGTCCAACCCTCTGCAATGCAGTGATCTTTTGCCCCACTTGGGGCTTGAAACCTCATGTTCTACCAGCTGAGCTATCCCAGCTTGGAAGGTCTTTGTGTTTTCATACTCTTTCCATTCCCCAATGCCACCCATCAGAGTGCTGCATTGAGCCCATATATGAGGTCACTAAAGTTAGAACCAGGTGTCAGATCACCGGTCCATCTGGCTCAGTACTCTCTAGCAGAAGCTTTCCAAGTTTCAGGCAGGAATCTCTCCCAGCCCTACCTGGAGATGGCAGGGATTGAACCAGGGATCTTTGCATGAAAAGCAGATTCACTGCCAATGAGTTGTACAGTATAGCCTTTCAGATCGCATGATCCAAAACCATTAAGGGGATCTTAGCAAGCTGTATTAGACTGTTGGTCCATCTACTTCAATACTGTCTACTTAGAGATTGGGATGGATTGAACCTGTGACCTTCTGCATGCAAAGCACATGCTCTTCCAGTGAGCTATAGCTGATCCCCAAACACACACTCCTCCCTCACCGGTCTCTTCTCTCCATTTGGTGTCCTGCTCTCTTTTCTCTCACCACCCCCTGGGAGGCAGAAAGGCTCCCATGCTGGTTAATTGTAATGTGTATAGACAGGGATGTGTGTCTGGAAATGAAGACCTAGGCCTTGTATCGATTCCTGCACAGATGGCTGCTGAGCCGCCTCTGGGGAGCTGTAATGACTCGCTTGGCAGCTAAGCTCCCTTCAGCCTTGCTTTGCCACCCTTTCCCAGTGTTGCTTTCACCTCTCAGAAGAGAATAGAGCCAATTCTCTACATGCAGTCCATCTCTTCTGTTAACCCATTCTTCCATATGGAAACATTGAAGCCTTGGAGATACTGGCCTTCTGTGGCACAATCCCTCCATGGGCTTGCCATTCAATTTGGCCTAGCTAAATGGCTTTGGGGCATCAAGGGGAGAGGGGTTCTCTATTAACTGGGATTATCCTGGCCTTGTTTTGGAAATGGTTGATTCTGGCTTCTTCCAAATCCCCATCCTGGAAAGATCCAGTCCAATGCTGGCTTTCACAGAACTCAGTTGGGTTTGTTTGTTTATTCATTCATTCATTTGAAGCTTCTGCATCCCAGCTCTCCAGCCCAAGAAGGTTTCCAGAGCAGTTCACAAAGATCAGTCAAAAGGCAGCCCTTGCCATCAGGCCTTCCATCCAAAAGACATAATGCAAAAGAAAGAAAGGGAAAAAAACAAAGGGAAGTTGCTGGTCTCAGCTGAGCTGATGGAGTTGCCCTGATTCACTTCTCTCATTCTGTTACAGCTTGGTGGAATGGCTGCTGGTGGGTGACAGTTTTTGGAGGGAGGAGCCTAATGGTCCTGCTTCCGTTCACCCCTCAGTTATAGTTTGATGGACTTTGTTCAAATGAACATTGAAAGGATTCGCTTTCCATATTTACAAGCCAGATTGATATAAATTTCTTAAACATGGAAGTTCTGAAGCACCATACCATTGTCTTTCAGAGAGAACCACTGTGATATTAATACAATTGCTTCAAAATTTCCTCTGGGGCAGGAAAGTGATGTGGTTTGGGGTCTCTTAGTCAGGCAAAGGGATGCGGGTGGTGCTGTGGGTTAAACCACAGAGCCTAGGACTTGCCAATCAGAAGGTCGGCAGTTTGAATCCCCACGACGGGGTGAGCTCCCATTGCTCGGTCCCTGCTCCTGCCAACCTAGCAGTTCGAAAGCACGTCAAAGTGCAAGTAGATAAATAGGTACCTCTCCAGCAGGAAGGTAAATGGCATTTCTGTGCGCTGCTCTGGTTCACCAGAAGCGGCTTAGTCATGCTGGCCACATGACCCAGAAGCTGTATGCCGGCTCCCTCGGCCAGAAAAGCGAGATGAGCGCCGCAACCCCAGAGTTGGTCACAACTAGACCTAATGGTCAGGGGTCCCTTTACCTTAGTCAGGCAAAACATCTGGGGGGGATTTTGATAGAACCCAAACATTTCCCAAAAACTAGTGAAATGTCTCAGCAGGTTTGCCACCAGATTTGGACTAAAATTAAATGTGAAGGCAATCTAGGGGCTGAGATCTCCATAATATGGTGCTGTGCCATCTGCTAATTTCCCTCTACATATTCACCGGTTAAAGGGGCCCTTTTCAAAAGCTTGGTTTAGAGCATGAGATTTTCATAATATGATGCTGCTTTTTGACAAAGATGCTACCACTGAAGATTAGAATGTTTATTAAATGCTCCATGAAAAGCCTTCAGCAATTTTCAGCGAGCTATGAAAACAAAATTTGAGAGCTGGTGATCTACGTCAGATTGTCCCCTGTGTGTTCTGAAGCTGCCAATTCATCGTTCTCATTCCCTTTAGACCAGGGCTGGGGAACCTCAGACCCGGAAGCTGAATGCGGCCTTTCAAGCCCCTCTCTTTGGCCCTTGGTACTCTCTCCACACTCCCTTCCCTAGCTCCACCAAATCTCTCTTCACTGGCCCTGCTTTTCACCATGCTTGAGTGTGCATCTTTGGGTTCTGATCATGCCTCTTGCTTGCATGGATGGAGAAGGATAGAGAAGGTGTGTGAGTTTGTGTAGAAACTAGCCCAGGGGTCAGCAAACTTTTTCAGTAGGGGGCTGGTCCACTGTCCCTCAGACCTTGTGGGGGGCCAGATTATATTTTTTGGGGGGGAATGAATGAATTCCTATGCCTCACAAATAACCCAGAGATGCATTTTAAATAAAAGGACACTTTCTACTCATGTAAAAACACACTGATTCCTGGACTGTCCGTGGGCCAGATTTAGAAAGTGATTGGGTCAGATCCAGCCCCTGGGCCTTAGTTTGCCTACCCATGAACTAGCCTACTGAATAAAGGTAAAATTAATATTTGTTGCTCTGCCCACTTCTGTTCCTGAGCTTGCCCTCCACTGGGTTGCCATAAGATAATTTAGCCCTTAGGCTGAAAAAGGTTCATAGAATCATAGTTTGAAGGGCCGCTGAGGATCATCATAGTCCAATTCCTTGCAATGCAGGAATATGTAAGTTGTCCCATATTGAACCTGCAACCTTGGCGTTATCAGCACCATGCTGTAGCCAACGGAGCTATCTAGTTCTCCAACCTCCTGGTATACGCTAGAGTAGGACTGCAACATAGGTAAAAATTCAATGATGGCTGTAGTCCAAGTCTTACTCATATCAAATCCCCAAGAGCACATTCGTTGGTGGTGAGAGCCAAATGATTCTAACAACGAGTCCTCTGAAGGTCCTTGCTAAGGATGTGCCAGCCATCAGCACCATCTACCTTTAATTCCTTAAAACAAAAATAAAAATGAGATTTGAGATTTTTGTGCAAGTATATTCCAGGCGTTTTACATTACATCAAACAAATGCCATTGAAAAACTGCTTGCAGCCCAAACATTTACATAGAACTAACACCGGTTAAAACAGCCAACTCTGTAACAGATACACAGTTTCTTAATGATCACTTTTGCTTCTGTTCCCCTTTAAATTTCAGTTTAGGCAAGATGCCCAGAAGAGGATGGTGGCCTTTGGGCTGACACCACTTCCCCATTCCTTGCCTTAGACTCTGTGGCCACCCAGCTATTCCCTCCCCTCTCTTCACCCTGCCTGCACACATCTCCTCTTTCCATCTTTCCTCTCTCTCTCTCTCTCTCTCTCTCTCTCTCTCTCCCTCTCCCTCTCCCTCCCCCCCCCCCCCGTCTCACTTGGCTGCTCCTTCCTCCTTCTGGCGAGAATTCAAGTAGATGAAAAGCCAATCTGCATATTTCCCATAACCCATTTTCAAAGCAGGGTTTATTGTTTTAAAACAAAATCAATTGGGAAGCAGCGGAGAGGTAGGTGAGGATGCAGAGGCAGCGGGTGCCCTTGGCGGTGCAATCTCCCTGTGCGCGCTGCAATAAAAAGTTGTTCGCTTGAAGGGGCTGTGGTTAGAAAAATAATAATAAAGCTTCACAAAGAGCTTGCCCTCTGCTGGCAATTGTCACAGGACCTTGAACTGTTCCAATGGAGAAACTGAGGTGGAGTGCGGAAAAGGCCCACTGGCCTAGAGGAGAAAGAACTGGGCAGTAACGTGTCATAGAAGTGGACTAGATGCAGAAATCTCAGCTAAAGGATCAATGACAAATGGCCACCCAATGTCTGCTTAAAAACCTCCAAGGAAGGGAAACACTTCCACTGTTGAACAGCTCTTACTGTCAGAAAGCTCTTCCTGATGTTTACTCAGAATTTCCTTTCTTGTAATTTTAGACCAGGGGTCAGCAAACTTTTTCAGCAGGGGGGCGGTCTACTGTCCCTCAGACCTTGTGGGGGGCTGGACTATATTTTTTTTTGGGGGGTGAACGAATTCCTATGCCCCACAAATAACCCAGGGATGTATTTTAAATAAAAGCACACATTCTACTCATGTAAAAACACCAGGCAGCTCCCACAAATAACCCAAAGATGCATTTAAAATAAAAGGACACATTCTACTTATGTAAAAACACGCTGATTCCTGGACCATCTGCGGGCCAGATTTAGAAGGCGATTGGGCCGGATCTGGCCCCCGGGCCTTAGTTTGCCTACCCAAGTTTTAGACAGTTGTGACTTACCCTAGAGAATCCTGGGAAGTGTAGTTTGTTAAGGGTGTTGAGGAGCATTGCCACAGAGCTGCAGTTCCCAGAGTTTCCTGGAAATAGGGCCTGACTGACAAGCCACTCTGTAAAATGTGGCTTTGTGAGGGGAATAGGGTTCTCCTAAGAACTCCTGACAGCACAAGCTGTTTGGTCATGGGCACTTGTGGAATATCCTTCCTTAGAAATTAAGCAGAGACTGGATGGCCACTTATTGAGGGCACTGTAGTAGTGGATTGTCCTTGTCAGCAGAGAGTTGGACTAGGTGCCCTTTGAGGTCCCTTCCAAAACTATGATGTTATTGTTCTCTTGTACTGTTGGCCAATGGGAGGCCACCATCTGGCAGCAAAGGCAGCAGGTGGGTTCCTTAAGGCCTTCTAACACCTTCTTTGTCGGTTTAAGAATGTAAAGGCCTCATCTCTCTGATGCCTGGGCATGAACAAAGGCCTTCCTTTGCTTTCCAGTAGCTTAAGCGAAGGGATTGAAAAGCAAGGTCATTTCCCCTTATTCTTGTTAGAAGGAAAAGACAAGGTCGGTGTGTGTCACCAGGTGCAAAGGAGGTTCAGGAGCAGCCAAAAGACTCATTAGTGAAGATTCTCTGCTTTGTCTGAGGGTCCAAAGCTAGATGCGGGAGCTTACCTGAAACCTTGCCCTGTTTTCTAATGTGTCTGTTGGGCCTTGGAGGTGACCAAAGAGTTCTCTGAATGTAGCAAGAGGCCCTCTTGTGTGTCATGCAGAATGGACTTGAGCTAGGGAGATGTGGGTTCCAACTCCTGCTTGCTAGATAATTTCATAGAATTGTGGAAGGGACCCATCCAGTCTAACTCTCTGCAGTTAGCTTTATTTGCCAGATATCTAGAGATTACAGTTCCATGGCTGTATGTAGGAATTTTGTTGTGGGAGCGGGGTGATATGTGGGGCGAAGCAAAGAGAGTGGGCTAGTTTCTCATTAAAAACTAGAGTATAGTGCAGGCTTCCTCAAACTCGGCCCTCCAGATGTTTTGAGACTACAATTCCCATCATCCCTGACCACTGGTTCTGCTAGCTAGGGATCATGGGAGTTGTAGGCCAAAAACATCTGGAGGGCTGAGGTTGAGGAAGCCTGGTATAGTGTATCCATTTTTTGCCTCATATCCCATCTTCTGCAATCTTATCTATCTATCTATCTATCTATCTATCTATCTATCTATCTATCATCTATCTATCTATCTATCTATATCTATCTAGGCACCTGGAGACAAAGCTTTACCCAGAGGTGGGGTAACTGCCTTCTTCCCCACCCAATGTGGATGCCAATAGATAGATCTCATTTCGGTGGTACATGCACTGACTACATCCAGGCTGCACTACTGTCATGCCCTCTGCATGGAGCCTTCCTTGAAGGCTGTTCAGAAGATTTCGTGTGACAAGAAGAATACGTGCAGGAGTTCAAATAAAATGTCTCACAGTTCTTTAGCTGAATTATTTCTATGGAAGGTGTACAAAGAATAAAAACAACAATTTTAGGATATTCCATGTTTACACAGAGAAAACCGAAAGCGGCATAAAACAGATTCGTCCCCAACCTGCAAAAAGTACGTCCGATTGCCATTTCTCAAAATAATTACCGTATTTTTCGCTCTATAAGACGCACCAGACCACAAGACACACCTGGTTTTTGGAGGAGGAAAACAGGAAAAAAAATATTCTGAATCTCAGAAGCCAGAACAGCAAGAGGGATCGCTACGCAGTGAAAGCAGCAATCCCTCTTGCTGTTCTGGCTTCTGGGATAGCTGCGCAACCTGCATTCGCTCCATAAGACGCACACATATTTCCCCATACTTTTTAAGAGGGAAAAAGTGAGTCTTATAGAGCAAAAAATACGGTATCTCAGCCACCTTGGTATTTTTTAATGAACCAAATCTCTCAAATTTTATAGACGTGAGCGTCTTTAAAAGCTACACCTTTGTAATCCATTTGAATGTCTATTGCCCACAATGGCTTTGTGTTGCACCGCTAGGCTCTCTTATGTCCTTATAATCATGACTGATATTGATTCCCAAGGATGGACCTATGTATTTCCCCCCCAGCCCCCCCAGCTCTAAAAACTTTACATCTCCCCTGCTTCATCTGCACTTTCCTTTTAAAAAAGGAAAAAGGCTACAGCATTCATCCCTAAGTGCACATCACTTATCGGAAAGGTTTTGTCTGTGTCACATTCTGCCAATATTCCTTTTATTATCCTTTTGCAACAAAAACTCCATGTATTTACAAAAGTACATGTTGTATCTGTGATTTTGAAGCCACAACACCATTTTAAATAGACACATGAGGTGGGAGAAAAACGCTGCCTGCTATTCCCCCTGCTGGTGGAATTATTTTTGGAGGATGACTGGGACTCCCAAAGCAAAACTTTCTCCAGAGGAGCAGCCTATGTTGAGGGACTGTGAGGCAGACCGAGGGGGAGTCTGAGTCCCTTAGTGGAGGTGGCAGCATGTCAATTCAGTCTTCTTCCTAAATGCAGGTAGCTTCTCCTTAGAATCAGAGGCATCCCAACATTCCCTGGAGTGTCAGTGTATGAGGAGCATTTCCCTTTGCTTCCAGCATTTACCTGTAACTATTTTCCATGCTGCTGATATTTTATTTTTTAAAAACCCACCACTTTCTATTTTTATTCATATTTGTTCTCTAGCTGATATATCTAGAGTTGCATCCCCCACAGCAATAAATTAAATAAGGGTTAGCAAGGAACTTGTTCTTCTAGAACAGGTATGTGGAACCCTTTGACCCTCTCGATGTTGCCAGACTACAACTCCCATTGTCCCTGGCTGATGGGAGTTGTAGTTCAGCAAGATCGGGAGAGCCAAAAGTGCCTCACACCTGCGCTAATGGATGGTTTTGCACAAGCAAATCTTCTTCCCCAAGAGCTTCGACAAGTGAGGAGCTTGTATATTTGTAGGTACAATTTGTCTAATTCAGGAAAAGAAAAGGTAGTTTTGCCACATTCCCACTAGGGCGAGTTCTGCATCAACGGGTCCACCAGTGACACTTTTTGCAGTGGGTCCCTCCATTGTGCAACACTGAGAAGTAGGTTTCCACCAGTGCCAACTCCTGTTTGTTTACATAGATCTTGTCATACCCATGCTGCTGGCACCCTCGACGCTTTGGGGAAAAGCTGATTGACTTCCAAAGTGCACTTGGTAGAATAGATTTGTTTATGCGAAGATTTTAATCAGCATCTTGAAATATTAAACAGTCAACAAGACACCTCTAGTGGGATCTGTGTTTACAAACAGGGCCTCCCCCCCACCCTTCACCTCAGAAAAGTGCCATCATTTTTCATAGTGCTTAACATCAAGGTTGTGCAGTGGCCAAAGAATTGACTGATATTTTCCCCAATCCGCCAGCAAAGGAACAAGTAATTGCTCCATATTCCAGAGAAAGATTGTGATGTTTCTTGTGAGGTGCGTGGGCTGTGTTGAAGTTTGTGCCATCA